AAGGTAGTTCACCTTGGAATGGGCTATCATGAGGATGAGCTCAAGTAGTTGAGTTCATCCGAGAGTGTTTACCTCATCCAAGGTAGTTCACCTTGAAATGGGCCATCATGAAGATGAACTCAACCAAGTTTTATGAACTTAAACAAGTTCCTAATTCAGCACATGAAGTTCCTATTGTTAAAGTCCAAGGCTAACCATATTATATGATAATGATACAAATATATACATATATATATATTTTTAGCTTAGTATCACAGTTAATAACTGTAACTTGAATAAATTATGAAGTTGTACTTTTTAATCATAGGTTCCTTATATGACTCTTCTCCCCCCTCAACCCGCACATTTGGGGTCGGTATAAATAAACGTTGTAATCATAAATTATATTATTTGCATTTTTTATGCTTTAACATGTCCAATAAACAAGCAGTCATGCATGTTGTAATAAAAAGTCTTTCTAGCTTGTAAATATAACAAAAATTGGACATGCGAAATAACTCATAAAAATCTTAAATGTGCAAAATAATTTTGAAATTTCTAATATGTAAGACTTACTTGACTTGCAGAGCAGAATTAATTTATACTTGAGAAAGAATTGTGCTTGATGAGATAGAAACTCGAGAAAGAATTTAGCTTCTTACGAATGATGTTAACTCCTTGCCTTGACTCAGGAGCAAATGTGGAGAAAAAATCTAGCCTCTCATAAATGATGCCAAAGAAGAAATTTACTTGATCATCTTTGTAAGTTGTTGAGCTTTATGGTTTGGGCCCGCGGCCTTTTGAAAATTTTTGATGGAGGAGTTGTTCATAGCTCGTATAGGAGGAGCTCACCATAAAAGGATTTCTCTAGAACCCACCCCACATGGAGTCCCTGCACTTTTCCATCTCTAAAATAGCAATGTATATTTATAATCATAAGTGCAAATGAGCAAAGTGGCATGATTATGATACATAAAAAATGAGATGGCAAAATGATATCATGAATGCAAAAACAAGTGCAAAATGAATGGAAAAATGTGGAATGAATGCAAAGAATACGAAAAGCAATTAATAATAAATTTCAATATAAGATTGGACCAATCTTGGGCCAAAGCTGTAATTTGCTGCGGAGCTCAATTGCTTTCTTAACAACCTGTATCACGAGGACTTGAAAACAGGAGAAATTAAAGGCATCCAATTTTATAATCAAGAAAGTATATATAAAATAAATAAAAAAAAAAGATTACTAGTTCATCTTTTTTAATTTTCAAAACAATATATGGTTGATGAACTAAATTTATATACATACTAATGTAAAATTTATGCCTTAATATTATTAACATTTGGGTGAATTTTATGAAAATTTACTTAATTTTGCATAATTTTCATTTTGTGCTAGAGAGGACTTAATTGAAAAAAGTCACAATCTTTTGGAGTAAATTGCAAAGATATGAAATTTGAGGATTAAATTGTGCAAAATCCAAAAGTAAGCGGTCGGGACTGTAATTTTACCGTTAACAGAATTTGCAGAGAAGGACAAAAACCCGAGGACGAATGTAGGAAAAGTGTCGGCACCTTATTGAGGGTGTTGACACCTTGCAGCTCGTGCTGCATATCTTTCAGCTCATGCTTGACTTCTGCACCTCGTGTTCAAGTTCTGCACTTCATGCTCGGCCTCTGCAGCTCGTGGCTGACCTCGGTAGTGAGTGTTTGAGCTCTACAGCTTGTGCTCAAGTTCTGCACTTCGTGCTCGACCTCGGCAGCAAGTGTTTTCAGCTCATGCTCGGCCTCTGCAGCTCGTGGCTGACCTCAGTAGTGAGTGTTTGAGCTCTACAGCTTGTGCTCAAGTTCTGCACTTCATGCTTGACCTTGGCAGCAAGTGTTTGAGCTCGGAAGCTCGTGTTGACCTCGGCAGCTCATGTTTGAGCTATGCACTTCGTGCTCGACCTCTAAAGCTCATGGCTAACCTCGGCTGTAAGTGTTTGAACTCTTCAGCTCATGCTCAAGTTCTGCACTTCGTGCTCGACCTTGGCATCAAGTGTTTGAGCTCTGCAGCTGGTGGTTGACCTCGGCAACTTGCAGCTCATGGTCCAGCATTTTGCACCTCGACATTTCGCAGCTCGTGCTTCAGCATCTCGCACCTCGGACTTGTGCAATTTGTAACTTGGACTTCTGCAATTCGTAGCTCGTGCTCGAGCAAGACATTTGTAGCAGCTCGTGCTC